CAGTAGGATAGAGTGTTCCCTGACATCTTTTTTAGATAGTTCTACCAATAAAATAAAAAACAGCCCAGAGAAGGTCAGTCAAGGGAATGGCAGCGCTGAGTTCAGTTTTCAGATCTCCCAAATTCCTATCCAGAGCTGACTCCACCCTAGCTCCTTCCTTCTGCTGGAAGAGTGACCATCAGGAAGGAGGTTTGGGCTGTGGCCACATGTGAGTGTGAGGCCTCACCAGAATCCTATGGTGGGGCCATCTGCCTGGAGCCCCCCTGGAGCCCATGCTGCAGCCCCCAGCACTCTGATCTCAAAGCCAGTTTCTTTGTTCCCCCCAGAAACTTCCCAAAGATGTTGGGAGCCACTTTGATTTTGGTTTTTTGTTTTTCTTAACATTTCCCCACAAAACAATGTGAGGAACAAGAGGAAAAGCATGGCCCAGTCACAAAGCTATTTCAACCAGAAAAGCAGGTCTGAGTCCTATCAATTCCACCTAGATTTCAGAGATCCCCAAGAGAGGAAAGGGGGACAGAAGCTCAGAGAGCTTCATACAAAGCACCACTCCCTGTGGGAATTCTGCTCTGTGTTCAGGGCCTGAGGCTTAGCACAAATCAGTGGTATCCCTTGGGGAACAAAGGTCCCCACACCAACTGAGAATGTGGTCAGATCTGCCAAACTTCAAACTTGGTTCAACCACTCTATGCTTAGAACCAAGAACACTAGAGGGAAAGGAACTGCAGGAATCATCCAGTCTAATCCTTCAACAGCATTTACCATCATATATACAATACCCTAAAGAATATACTGTATATATTTTCTGTAATTTTCTTTTTATTTTTTTATTTTTTTATGGTGTGTTTTTTTTTTTTTTTTTTTAGATGGAGTCTGGCTCTGTAGCCCAGGCTGGAGTGCAATGGCCGGATCTCAGCTCACTGCAAACTCTGCCTTCCGGGTTCACGCCATTCTCCTGTCTCAGCCTCCCGAGTAGCTGGGACTACAGACGCCCGCCACCTCGCCCGGCTAGTTTTTTGTATTTTTTAGTAGAGACGGGGTTTCACCGTGTTAGCCAGGATGGTCTCGATCTCCTGACCTCGTGATCCGCCCGTCTCGGCCTCCCAAAGTGCTGAGATTACAGGCTTGAGCCACCGCGCCTGTAATCACGGTGTAAAAGGCCCAATTTTCCTTTTATTTAATCACATACTATAAAACTATAAAAACCCTCCCCCACAATTATACATAGATCTTTCTCATGTTGTTACCCATAACATATTATTTTTCAAAACTAAGAAAAGAAGTAGTCACCTTTGGTGAGATATTCAGATAATCTAGGGATGGCAAGTAGAAACTGTGGGACTACAAGCACCCTCCCCACCATTTCCACACCTTATAGACTAAAAGGACTTTGTATTCAAGATGAGGGTGAGTGAGCATTTATTTGTAAATGAACAGGAGCAGGATGAGGAGGCGGCAGAGATGCACCTGGACAGGAATGAGGGAAAGGCAACCAGAGAGAAAAGTCAGGGGCCAAGAGTTGCCTTAGTCAATAACAGCAATGGGAGGCAGGGAGCAGAAAAGTGAGGAGGAGAGCTTGAAATGACCCCCAGTTAGGGACAGGGAGTCAGGAAAGATGGGAGCTGTTGGTGGTGAAGAAGAGCCCAGTAACGGCAGCCCAGCAACAGCCCCTGAGGTGCCAGGCCATGGTCATGGGTGAAGCTGGCCCCAAAACCTTTCCTTTTTCCCCTCAGAGAAGTTGAAAGGGTTGTCTCCCAGTGATTTTGCCACATGGTTTTTCAACACCCGGAGCCTTTGCCAGTTTCCCGGTGAGACCTGTTTATCTCCATTCTGGAGTCTTAATGTTCAAAACAAACTTCCAAACAAAAGGATCCTCTGCTCTGTGGTTCTCAGCTCCATTCTCCTGCAAGGACAGAGTCAACAACCCTGATCCCCTGATGACTTTCACAGCCACGTCCACAGAGAATCCCACCCCCAGCTTCCTCCTGCGTCTTTCCCGCTGCCTCTGATTGTTGTGGACATCCTCAAGGGCAGAGTTTGTATAGCTTATTTTAGCCCCTTTTTTCCTATCCTCATAAACTATGCGGAGAAAATAAGATTGTTCCCCCAGCAGATGTTATTTGAGCCTTACAAAGTGGCCCAAGACCCAGTGATCTCTTCTAAGAGGCGAAATCATCGGCATCTAGCTGGATATATTATCAAAAAGAACCCCAGACAAGAAGAATTCAATTAATGTCATTAATTGATGAATAATTAATTCATTAATTCATCAATTAATTTATCAATTAATCATCTGAAAATTTTCAGGCATATTTTCGTGGCCACCACTCTGTGGAAAAGTCCAACAGATTTTCATAAGTAGAAAATGACAGCATTGTCACTGAGGGCAGGTATAAGTGAGGGGTGACACTACTAATTAGTATGCATCCAGCCTTCATTTGTCATGCATTACACTAAAGCCTTTAATACATACAACAATCCAAAAGGTAGGCACTATGGTTGTACCCTTGTACAGATGAAAACTTTGAGGCTTATAGAGGCTAAGTATCTTCCCCAAAGTGAGACAGCTAGAAAGTGATGAAGCTGAGATTAAAAGTCAGGAAAGCTGGAAACGGCACCTGGGCTCTTCCCCAGGCCACCATCGGGTTTAGCTAATTTATGTTTTGCTTAGTTAATTGTCTCCCCACTGTCCCAGAATCGGATTTATGTTTATGAGGTTGGAGTTCTTTATATTTCTTTATTTTTTATTTTTTCTGCCATCATCCATTACTGGGTAGAGCTCTTGTCTGTCCTCTTCTCCACGGTATCCCCAGAAGCCAGCACTGGGCCTACCACAAAGTAGACCCCTTGATAAATAATTGCTGAGTGAATGAACTAATGAATGAATATCATGCTTTTATTTGACTATTTCCTATAATTTGAAATTTTCTGAACATTGAGGCTTTGGGTGATAACTAAATATGTTCATGGAATAGAACAGTTAATTTTACATGTCTAATTTATCGGAACTTTCTCCCAGAAAAATGTTTTTCCAAGCGTTAGAACCTAGCAAGTTACCTGCAACTTGGAAATTGAATAAGGAATACCATCTGAAAATGTAGAGGACACATAAAGTGGGATAATTTAAATATTTACTAATCACTTATGTTTTCAAAGCTATTTTAGGCCTGTGCCTTTTTCAATAGCAAAGAGCTGTCTATGAATTACCAGCGTGCTTGTTTCAAATGCTGAGCAAGGGAGTCCAGGGCCTGGGAATCTGCATTTTGGAGGTATCTCAGGCGCTTATTATCCATACAAAATTTTGAGAATGACCGTGAGGACATTAGGACTATTTTTATCTCCACCCCATCAGACAAAATTCTTTTTTTAAAAATTGTTATTATACTTTAAGTTCTAGGGTACATGTACACAACTTGCAGGTTTGTTACGTAGATATACATGTGCCATGTTGGTTTGCTGCACCTGTCAACTCGTCATTTACATTAGGTATTTCTCCTAATGCTATCCCTCCCCTAGCCCCGCCATCCCCCAACAGGACCCAGTGTGTGATGTTCCCCTCCCTGTGTTCATGTGTTCTCGTTGTTCAACTCCCACTTGGGAGTGACAACATGTGGACAAAATTCTTAACAAGCTATCAAATGTGTTTCAAATCCATTGATCCTTAGGTTTATCTAAAGATTCTTTAATCCTGATCACCTCTCCAGGTCATGAGCCATATCCATCTTTTCCTCCCTGCGTGAGGTAGAAACATTGTATTTATCTAAAAGCATTGCATAAAAACGTTGTATTTACCTTTCCCCAATTTTAATAGAGCAGCTATCTAATCTTACACTGACATCCCAGACTCTAGTGCGCTGAGCCACTCTCATATAGGATCAAGCTAGAAGTTAGAAGATCTGGTCCGGTTCCGCCACAAGATGCTGTGTGTCCTAGGCCACGTTGCCCAACCTCTCTGACCCCCTGTTTCCTTGTCTAAGCTGGGGCTGTGAGTGTTCACAGCCTTTTGAGTCTGCACATGCTCTAATTGGAGCCATGCTATAGACAAGGATCATGTATCCTCTCAGTCTTGTTTTTCAGCCCTCAAAAGTCACACTTCTATGATCATGAATTAGGTTCAGAAAGTGACAGAGTAAGTAGTCACAGGAATGTCAAGAGCGCTACCCCACTGAATCAATTGTGACCAAAAAACTTTGGAATATAAACTTCTACAATACACACCTATAAGATATAATTACAAAAAAAAAAAAAAAAAAAAAAAACCTTGGGGGAAGAGTTAGTTGGCCATACAAAAACTAGGGTGGACCTGTGAGGCCACATACCTGCTGTTCTCCTCAGATGGGGAAGTGTTTCAGGGTGGGGCGCCTAGGCAATCTACTCTTAGGACCGTGTAATATTAAACCCAGAAAATGTCTGGGTTGATCTGTCAACAAATATTCATTGGTAGCTACTATATGGCAGGCCCTGTTCTAGGTATTGGGGGCCTGTAGTGAACCCTACGGACAGACCCATTCTTTCATGGAGCTAACATTCTCGTGGGGAAGAGAGGGTAATAAACAATTCTAATGATGAATCAGTGATGGGGGATAAAGGGAATCAGTGAGGGAAGAGGGGATATAAATGCTGGGAGGCTGAAGGAGCCCCTTACGTATCATCCACTTGTGCAGACGCCATATTCACAGTTGAGAAAGATGAGGCAGCGACGGTAGTGACCGACTTGAACCTAGACTGCACCAAGCTTGCCAGCAGCAGGGCCGGATGGAAACTGTTTTCCTGCAAAGCCAGGCTTTCCTTCACAGCCCCTTCTAATGATGTTTCTTTTCCTATCATTGTCGAGCCCTTAGACCCCAGGATCGAGGGAGGGAAAACAAGCGCTCAAGCACCCCCTCGTTGGTCCCAGGACACAGGGTCTCGTCCATCCCCCATCACACCCCAGGGCCCAGGCAGAAGCCCGGCGGGGCGGGGCCTGGGACACGCGCCGGTGCGTCCAGCAGGTGGCAGCAGCGAGCGGCCGCGCCCCCCGCGCTGCCAACCCGCGAGCCCGCATCATGGATGTCGAGCTCTCCTATTTCGCATTGCTAGCCCTGGAATTCGAGACCCCAGACGAGGACCAGGATTCATGAATCAGTCGCAGGGGCCGGGGCAGGGGCCTCTGGCTCCCGACACTGGCCGAGAGGTGGGTTCCGGGGCGGGTCGCTGCTCCTTGAGGCCGGGCGGGGACGCGCTGCCCCCGCCCTGCCTCCCTGTGGTCCACACCCCCTTTGGGCTCCGGAGCCGCTGGGCAGGAATAGTCCGGGGTGCGCGCGAGCGGGCGCTGCCAACCCCACTTCTGCCCGGGATTCCAATCTGAGGAGCAGGAGGACCGGGGCGCCAGTGTCCTGCCGCCTCTTCCTCCTTGCTCTCACCTGCGCCTATTAGTCCACGCGCCTTCAAGGCCAGGGGCTACAGCCCAGACAGAGAGGGGACAGCAGAGGAGAGAGAGCACCTGAGGATACAGAGCTGGCACTGGACTGCCTTTTCACCCCCCAGGTGATGAGTGAGGTTCGAAGAACGGAAGATTTAAAAAGCAACCGGGGCCTCCGTATTGAATGAAAGACCCAGTGCAAAGACATCACCATGAACACGAGCAGTAAGTGGATCCTCCTCTCCTTTGCCATGGGAACAGGGGTGGGGGCGGGAGGTGAGGGAGCCTGCGCTCGGGCTGCCTGGAAAGAGGAAGGAAGCCTGGCATCTCTGGACACATGACCCCCAGGCTCCTTTTTGGTGCTTTTTGTTCTCCTTGGCAGAGGGATAGCTTCATGACTCTGGTTTTTCGTGATAATTTTGCCAATATTTTATCAGCGGCGCCGGTCGCCTCTGCTAGGAAGGCTGCTTGTCTCCTTCTAGCACTGCCTGGGAAGGCCTAAGAAGCAGTGTGTGGCCATTGTCTGACTGTGGGGGCTCTGAGGAGACCTCCCTGCACACCTCTGGAAGGCACTGCCTGTCCCAGAGGTGGGAAGAGCAGGGAAGCTGGCCTGTGGGCAGGCGGGAGGGCAGGTGGGTGTGGGCAGGCAGTGGGCTGGGAAACCGCAGTTTGATAAACAAATCATCACCAGGCCACCTTTGGGTCTGGAGATTGTGAAAGATCCAGCTCCGGAGTGCCTGCAGCCCGGTGGGCCCAGGCACTGGTTTCTCTATCTATGCTGGTTAGTTATCCTTGAGAACAAGAGGACAGGAACAACCCTTTGGCCAAGGGCTCTAACATGCCAGAGGCAACAACTGCTTGCAGAGCCAGGACCAGATATTTTGCTGCCAGGTAGGGCCTCAGCTACTGAGAATGCAGTCCGAAATTCAAGAAGGCATAGTCTATTTCTCTTCAATGTAGCGCTGTGACCTGGGAGGGCATGTCTCGGTTCCCGACTCACTCTCCCGCCCTCTTGTCAGCTTGGCCTGTCTAGGTTATTCCAGCATCGCATGGGGCTGTTGAACCAGAGAACCCCTACAAACAGTCACTTTCCTGGGTCTATGACTTTGTTATCAGTCCCCTCTCTGCATCTCAGACTGCTCGTCTGTATGATGAGAGAGGTTGAATTAGAAAGCCTTCTAATCGGCTAGGCACCGTGGCAGATGCCTGTAATCCCAGCAGTTTGGGAGGCAGAGGCAGGTGGATCACGAGGTCAGGAGTTCGAGACCAGCCTGACCAACATGGTGAAACCCTGTCTCTACTAAAACAAAAATTAGCCAGGCGTGGTGGCATGGACCTGTAATCCCAGCTACTCAAGAGGCTGAGGCAGGAGAATTGCTTGAACCTGGGAGGCGGAGGTTGCAGTGAGCTGAGATCGTGCCACTGCACTCCAGCCTGGGCAACAGAGTGAGACTCTGTCTCAAATAATAATAATAATAATAATAATAATAATAAAAGAAAGGCTTCTAATCTAAGAATCTACAAGTTTTTTTTCTTAAAAAGCTAGAGCTGAGCAACAAGGCCAGAACTATCAAGACCTTATTGAAGCTGTATCCAGCCAAAACCTATTTCTTCACACACTCCACCCCGCCCCCACCTCCATTTCAAGACTGTTGGCATAGAAGAGAAAAAAAAAACAACAACAAAGCAAAAACGACTGAGATGAAAATTAAATATATTTATTTACTACATATTTGTATGATTCATCTCTCTGCTGTCTTCCTTTGTGTATTGCGTATCTATGCTTAGCTAGCAAGTGTGGCTGGACTCTCTCTGCCTCTTACAGCCAAAGAATTTTGCCTTTTGATTTTGACAGGCTGGAATAGTGTTTTGGCTTCAGGACCAGGTCAGAAAGAGGAACAATCTGCAGCCCCTATTCAGCTAATGGGCACATGTTTGCATTGCATGTTTCATGGCAATAAAGATGTGAGTTGGCCGTCACTTCTCACTATTCTAGGGGAAA